TCACGCGCTTTCTCTGGGGCAGGGAAGGGTGTCAGGTTCCCTTGGGTTTTACTCAGCCTGCAGCTGCAAGGACTTTTCTCGGGAACAAGTTGTGTGGTATCTGCTCTTACTGGTGTTTTCCAGAGGTCAGAGTTGCTGTGCTGCCTCCAAACCACCAGGAACCAATGTTTCCCTCAACATTCTCCCAGCCCCCTTGTGCTGTGCAGATCCAGGTGCCTCAGGATGCTGTGGCCCTTGGTTTTGGCTATGGCAGCGTTCTGGTTGCAGCTATGCAGCTCTCCGCAGCTCTGAAGCAGGACAGCTTGAAAGGCACCTGGCAGTTGGTTACAATCCAGAGCTGACTTGGGGCTCCAGCACAGGGACCTGCTTTGGAAGCTTCCTGAGCAGCCATGGGAAAAGCACCCTAGTCTGTTCGCTCTGAGGGGTGGCAGGAGCTGGTGAGCATCCTCTCCCACCTGAATGTAGGCAGGAGAGCATGGCTGGTCCTCCACTCTGGTGAGGAGCTCTTGGCCTGTGGTGTGTGCACTCTGCCCTGCTGAACAACTGCATGTCATTGTTTTATACTGGACTCTTGGAGCATTTGGTATGTGTTTTTGCCTTTGCTCATTCCCCTGATGACCTTCTTGGGAGAAACAAAGACACCAGAGAATTAGATGTTTGTTCTGAGCTCCTGGATCCACTGGGGAAAAAAAGCCTGAAGTTTTTTCCCATGCTGAAACACACTGGTGTCTCCTTCGGTCCTCGCAAGCTGAACTTGTTCTGCACTGCTCTGCTCTGCTCCTCTCCTCCCTGAACAGCTCGGTCATACAATTGGCTTTGCACAAAGGCGTTGTGTGCAGACCGAAGGGCAGCTCTGTCTGCTGCAGGGGAGAATGCTGCTCAGCTGAGGAGGGTGAATGGACCAAGTGTCAGGGTGTCCAGCTGCTCCCAGCAGTGCTGGTTGGGGAAGGAAAGCAAAACAGTGTGGGCAGCTCAACTAAGCCAGCTTCTGCACTGGGCAGCAGGGCATGGTCCCCTTCTTTCCTGCTGCAGAGCACTCAGTGAGCGCTATAGCCCACTGTTCTGGAGACCTGACTGGCTTCCTGATGACAGCTTGCACTGCTTGGAGGTGTACGGGAACAAGTGGACTTAGGTCACCTCACCAGGGAGAACGGGCAATGACTATCAAGCTACTGATATAATGCTGTATAAGGTCAAATGCTGACAAGTCTTTGTGCTTTTGAACATGAAACCTTTGCACATCTTCCATGTGTGGTTTTGAGTGCAAGTTTGGGGCTGCAGGAATGTAGGAGGGAAGGGCCTGACCAAAGTCCTGTCTGCCTTGGGACAGATTTCCCTTTGGATGGGATGGGTCTGTGGTCCACCCTTTGAGGGCTGAAAGAGACTCTTGGATTGCAGGAGGCCGCCAGGGGATTGAGCTAACAAGTCACTGACCTTCTTCTGTGCTCCTTGTCAGTGCTCCTTGCCCTGGCCACAGGCTGTGGGGGGCAGGTTGTGCAGCCTCCCCCACTGCTGCAGCACTGCCCGACAGCCCACAGGGCCCTGGTCTGTGCGCAGGAGCCAGGTTTCCATCAGGTCCTGGTGTGCTCCTGCCAGGAGGTGCCTGCTTTGGTTCTGCTGGGGCAGGCAGGGCCAGCAGCTCCTGGGGGAGGAGAGCACATGGCACCTCTCCTGCTCCAGCGCAGCTTGTCACAGCATTGCAGCATGCTGCCACCTCCTCCTGGGCCTGTCTGGAGAAGAGATGTGCTTCCACCCTGACATTCCTGGAACAAGGACACCACAGGCAGTGACTGAATGCTCAGGCAGCTGCAGAAAACGGGAGGGAAGGATGGACAGTGGTGCCTTGCTGGTGCCATGCAGGGGCTCCTCTGGAGCCAGGCTGTACTTGTACAGCAGATGTTTCCTTTCTGTGTTTTCTCCCGTTGGCAGGAGGGAGGCTGAGGTACAGACTGGATCTGAGAGCAGATTATGTGGTGGGGCTAGTGGGCTATTCCTCTCTCTGCCCCATCCTGATGGTGGCATGATTTTGGTATCATGTAAGCCAGAGCACATCATCTTCCACCCATTCCTCTTGAGAGAACTGAAGCAGTAAAGCATGGAGGGGGGGAAGCCTGTGGGAGGACCAGGCTGATGCCATGAGCTGTCTCCTACTCAGGCCTCTGTCTGTCAGTGTCCTGTGTTCAGCCACTCAAAGCACTAGCTGCATGCCTGGGTCAGAATCCTGGGTGAGGGCATGTTTCCCCTGCAGACTGTAACAAACAGACCCAAGGAAGGTCACATGCCTGCCTTCAATCTGATGCAGTTCTGGGCATGGTAGCCCAAGCTCAGTGAGAAGGAAGCAAGGGTAAACTGCTCATTTGTCCCAGATGGGCTTCAGGGGCTGGCAAGAAGAGCAGGCAGTACACTGGCCTTGGGCAGGAGGCCCTGCTGGGAGAGCTCCATCCAAAGCTGGGGATCCCTCCTGTGCTTTCAGGCAGCTGGCAATGTGCAGTAAATCCCAACAGCCTGCTGGGAGCTTCTGGGCAGCCCTTGAGGGGCAGAGCTTAAATCGATTGTCTCTGAGGCCATACCCTGAGCGTTTTGGGGGTGTGATCCAGGCACCTGCCCCTTGGCAGTCTGAGGATTGCTGCCTCCTAGCCTAGTAAGAGCTGGCTGCGCCTTGTGCTGAGCAAGCAGACCTGGAAGTCCCCTAGCATGCAAGAGCTGGAGAAAGGACTGATCCCTTGCCCTGACTTCCTAAGGGAGGAGGCAGTTTTGTGTGATAGAGCTGGAGCAGTGCTTGCTAAAGCAAGCTGACTTAGTGGTGCCATATAACAAGCAGACAAACTGCAAATGTAATGCTATAGAAGCTGGCATCTCCTGGAAAACTCTGACCTGGGTGCCTATCCAGCCTCTCCTGCCTGTGACCTGGCCAGACCTGGCAGCAGGCAGGTTCTTGCCATCTTCACTGTGCTAAAGCTGGTTTTTGATTGTCCACAGAAGTAGCCCAATGGCAAGGAACCCACCCCCTTGTTTTCCAGTTCAGCCTGCTGCTGGTCCTGGAGCCCTCTGGCTGCGGGCACTGTCAGTGGTCTTTTGGCCCCAGCTGTGGAGGCTGCCAGAGGGGGGCCCTGAAGGCCATGCACCCTAGCTCTGCCACAGCCACCTCCTGCTTGCTCTCCTCACGGTGAGCAGGTGGCTGTGTAAGCGGGCAGGTCAGCCAAAGATGATCCCTGCTGTTTCTGCGGGTCCTGGTGCCTGGGAAGAGCGGGCTCTTCCTGCCCCTGGGAAGTGCTGGCTGGTGCAAAAGCACCCTCTCCCCAGTGCCCAAAATGTAGAGTGAGCTTTCTCCAGCCTTGAGGGGCAGGAGGGACACTGCTCTGGCACTGACCTCAGCTCTTCCCAGGACTTGTCTGTACCTACCTCCCCATGGCCATTCATACCCAGTAGCTGAATCTCACCGTGAGACCACCTTCTGTCCCTGGGACCTTACCTATTTGTCCTGCTGTAGGTGACAGGCTCTGCAACAGACTTAGGCTGCTAAGCACATCAGCAAAGCTGGTGGTGCCCCTGTGAGAGCCTATTTAAGAAAGGGCAGAAAATATCAGAGGGGGAGGAGGGAACAAAAGAGTAAGAAACTTACTTGGGGGAGGATTGGAGGAGGATGTGCTCCAGGTGTTTGCTGCAATCTGGAGAGGGCCGTGGAGGAGGTGGATGTTTGCAGAAGGACCTGTGGAGAGGAGCCATGCTGGAGCAGGCTCTCCTGGCAGGGACCCTGCCCTGGAGCCCAAAGGCTGTGCTGTGTTGGAGCTCAGGAGGCCGGGGGGAGCTCTGCGCCAGCCCCCCAGCAGTGTCCAGTCTGGTCCAGGGCAGCTGCTCCTGCCGGTCTCAGCGCTGTTGGCTGAGAGCCTTGAGCTGCCTTCTCCATCACCAGGTGCCTAACGATCCCTCCAAAGAATCATCGACACAGGACACAGATTGCTGGGGGAGGGAGTGGGATCTGCCGAGACTGCAGGGAAACAGCCCCAGCCCGCAGGTGTAACCTCCCTGTTCGCACATACAGTCACACAGCTCTCACCTCGCCCGGCGGAGGGGAGAGGAGCTGCTGTGACCAGGCGCCAGCCCCAATTCCCTGTCCCCCTGTGCTGCCAGGGGGAGGAGATGGAGGAGGCAGGAGGAAAGGTGGTGGTTTAGTGCTTGTCTTTGTTCCTCACTACCCCACTCTATTTTAATTAGTGATAATTTAATTTTCCTGAAGTTGAGCCTGTTTTGCTCATGATGGTCATAGGTGAGCAAGCTCCCCATCTTTATATGACCTACAAGCTTTCTCATCCCCTTTTTCCCATCTTGCCCTGCTGAGGCAGGCCAGCAAGTGAGCAGCTGGATGGGAGTTTGGCCCTCAGCCTCATCTGACCCACCACTCTCCTTCCACATGCTCCCTCCCCAGAGCCGCAAGTGCCACGAGAGTGCAGGCTGTCCTGCAGCACCACTGCCTGGGCTGGGTGCCTCCTGCCCTGGGCAGGGCGGCTGCGTGGGGCCTGGAGGGACATGAGCTTCAGCTGTGGGCACTGCTCCAGGGCCCTTCTGCTGCCTGGAGGCTGCCAGAGGGCAGGGAGGCTGAGGCAGCTCACTCGGAGCAGGCACCTTCCAGGCTGACTCATTTTCTTGCTCAGTAACCGTACGTGACGTAGCAGGAGTCTGGTCCTGGATGAGCTGTCCCAGCTGCTTGCGTTGAGAGTGTGACGTTGAGCAGCCTGGGCCCGACTGCGGAAAGAAGTGCTTCCCCCAGGGACCCTTCCCATCCAAGGGGGTGCTGCAGTGCTGGGAGGGGGCAGCGGGTCCTCACTGGGTGATGAAATTGGGGCCCAAGGGGCTGCGGCACGTCCCCTCCTGCAAGCCTCGCCCGGGCAGCGGCTTGCCTCCACCAAGCCTGGGCTGCCCACAGCACGTGGAGGGGCGGCCGGCACGCTGCGGGTGTTCTGTGCTGCGCTCTGGCTGACCAAGCCCTCCTGTCCCCACAGTGTACGTCGTGGAGGAGCGGCGGAGGGACGACACGGGCGAGAGCGCCTGCCTGACGGCATGCTGGACCGCGCTCTGCTGCTGCTGCCTCTGGGACATGCTGACCTGACTGCTGCAGCCGCCTCCCGGACCTCTCACTGAGTGCTATGCAGGCTCCCCACTCCCGTCCCGACTTCTTTCTGTTACTGTAATCAATGCTCTGCTTTGCACAGCCAAGAGTTCCTGTCTGTCAGTCCTAGCGCCTTGTTGGGGTGGGGGGTGCACTCCTTTATTTTAGTAAAGGAAAAATCCCTTTTTAACATTTCTAAGACTTTTGTTGTAACTTTGAAGAATGTGCTAATGGTATATTTCAGCCAAAGGCATTCTGATTAAATGTATATTTATCAGTTGAAATTTTCCTAGTCCTAGAAATGAAGACATATGCAATAATTAAAGCCAACAGTTGATTTTCTTCGCTAGGTCCTGTTTCAATAAATCTGTCCCATAGAGGGTGTGCTTGCCCCATCGCTGTCTTCTCAGCCTCCCACGTGCACTGACTGCAGCAGCAATGATGGACTTGGCTTCAGGCAGTTTTGCTGCAGTTCACGCCTTGGTCCCTGTCTGGGGCCTGGGCTGGGGGTGCTGTTACCAGCATCTGGTGGATTTTCTGTAGCAACCTGGTGTGTAAACTGTGAGAGTGCAGTGAAACCAGCTGGGATAGGGAGGGTGGAGCACCTGTACCTGACACCACCAACCGCCTTGTCCCACACAGGGCAGCTCAATCACATTTTCATCCTCTGCTTACTTGGGGCTGGTCCCCATCTGGGAGCGGGGGCCTCTGCAGCAGCTCCTGGGGCCACAGAGAGCTGGGTGAAGCACATGCTGAGCTGCTGCACACGTGCGCCAGCAGCTCGTGGGGGAGGACTGATCCCGCTCAGGGGTTTTGAGCAGTGATCCATCATCCTCCTGCTGCAGAGCAGAGGTTTTGGGGGCTAAATTAACAGGTAAGACGGAGCAAGGCCATGGATTAACTTGGTGCTGAGGATTTGTAGCTGAAGCTGTTTCGTGGCTCAACTGGCCAGAAGAGGGATAAAAAGATTTCATCTGCAGAAAGCTGGGGAAATCTCTTGCTGTCACCGTGGGGGGATGGTTCCCACCCAGCTGCCCACTGCCTCAGTCCGCTGCTGTTCTCCCTGTCTCGGGAGCAAAACCGCTCCCGGTGCACACGTCGGCTTTGCGTTGTTATTGCCTGGAGGTCGCTGGGTGATCTCATACCCTTTGCAGCAGGACTCCAAAGGGTCCCTCAGGTTGCCTATGCCGCATCCAGGATCCCTGCAACCTAATGAGGGTTGTGCTTGGCTGGACCCTGAGGCTCTTCCTGTGCTGCAGCCCAGGCAGCAGCTCTGCTCCCCTGCTCCTGCACGGGCCCCAGCTCTGGCACCCGGGCCTGAAGGAACCAGTGTAAGGACAGGGCTTAGCTGCACGAAAGGGCAGCAGCTGCCATGCTGTGAGGTTTGCTCAGGCCTCACAAGGCACCCTGCTGTGTTCCTCTGTGCTTTTTCATCTGGGAGTTCTGCAGTTCTGCCTCTGGCACAGTGCGGGGACTCTGGACACCTCTGCTTGGGTCATAAAATGCAGTTTTGGGGCTTTGGTCTGGGGCAAGACGATTTGGTTTGGGTTGATGAGGGCCCCTTGCTTGGGCACTGCTCCCCTGCAGGCAGCTCAGGTCTGCTGCTGCATTGCTGGAGTCTCCCTGCCCCAGGAATGGTCGCTGTCACCTCGCTGGCAGCTCAGCAGCTGCCGGGGCTCAGAAGGGTGGTCCCTGGCTTGCCCTGCCTTGGCGAGGGGGTATAAATGGAGCGTTCAGCTGCCCTGCGCCCATGGCCCTCCCTGTCCCCTCCCTCCAGCCCCTCGTCCCAGCACCATGGTCAGCCCACCAAGCCTGGCTTTGGCTGCTCCCCAGCAATGGCCTTGCCCAGCACACGGCAAGCCCCCAGCCCTAAGCAGGCACCTCACAGCCACAGGCCGGTTCTTGCTCTGCCTCAGGTAGGAGCAGGAGCTGGTCTGGGGCCATTTGCCCCCAGACCCCAGGATGGGAAGGAGCGGGGACTCCGGCTGCTGCTCTCTGCCTCCCACTCCAGCACTCACCAGCAACGCCAACAAAGTGGCTGCAGTCCTGGGCTTGTGTGGCTACAGCAGCACCCTCCCCCACCCCCTGCAGCACGCTGCCCTTGCACCACAGTGCCTGTCCTTGGGGACACCACATCCACCCTGTGCCGTCAGGAAGGGCTGCCCCAGGTCCCAGCCACCCTGCGCCGTGCTCCAGCTGCCCGGGGCCGGGGTGCGGGAGGCGAGGGTGCCCCCAGTCTCCTGCTGAGCCTGGACACCACCGTCCCCGTTTTGGTGCCAGGGCAGGGATGAAGCTCAGCCCAGTGCGGGGAGTCCCTGGCTGCTGAGCCCAGCTACCAGCTGATCTGCCCTGCCCCAGGACCAAAACGGGTGGACACCTCATCCAGCACCCACCTCCGGCACCCCGGCAGGCAGGAACCCAACCCAAGAAGCTCAAGGCACAGACACCTTGTCCCAGGGCTGGCCCCCACAGAGCCTCGGCCCCATGTCCAGGCTGTGCCCAGCACCATGGGTGGTCCAAAGCAGCTCTCCAGCTCACCTTTTAGGATAAGGGGTTGAGGTCTGGGAGCTGGACCACATTAGCTGATGCAGGGACAAGCTGTTTGGGATTACACAGGACTTGCTATGGGATATTTAATGGTAGACCCTAAGGTGGAGGTGATTTTGGGAGGAACAAGTGTGGAATAGTGAGGTCTGGGGATGAAAGGACCGTTTGGGCATAAATGAACAACTGGTCAGTACACTTGTCCATTGCTTGATCAGTGCAGTCTGTCCAATCTTATTAAATTCCTTTTAAACACTGCTCTGGATGAGGGCTCCCTGCTGAGCGTGCACGTGTGCAGGGGGGGTGTGTGCTGGGGGGAATCAGCCCCCAGGCCTCTGTGTCCACAGGGCAGTGAGTGCTGCCGGGCAGGTGTGTGCTCAGCAGCGAAGGCTGAAGCCGGCCCAGGCTGATGGGCCCTGGGAGCCGGGGGGGAAGCCACGGGCAAAGGGCCAGCCCAGAGCATGGCAGCGCACGTCTGCGGGGCGAGGGCATGGGGGCATCGCTGATGGGATCTGGAAACCCCCTGCCCAGCTCCAAGATCCCAAGTCGCTGCTGACAGGAGGAGACAGCCCCGAAAGCTCCATTTCAGAAAAGCACCAAAGCCAGGAGTAGGGGAGCTACACTGTGAGCATGAAGCACAGGGTGGCACTGGCTCTCCATGAGCTCACTGCCGCCCTGGGGCTCTGCCAGGCCCGGGTGTACAAGGAAAGAACCAGAGCCTGTCACCACTGAGGCAGAATAAATGACCCCCCGTCATGGACCTGAAGGTGCCTGTAACAGCTGGTCCTGCCCTGCCCTGCCAGCCCTTTCCCCCACCACCGTTTCAACAGCCCCACTCCAGCAGAACGATGCAGTGAGCCTTCCCTGGGGCCCAGCACTGAGCGGTACGCAGGGTCTTTCTGGAGGACAAGGGCCTCCTGCTTTAAAGGGAATCAGGATCCCCCAAAGGGCCCTCACCCCAAAATCCCACCACTGCCTCCTTTCTCCATTAAATCCCTGCAGGGAGAGCAGCCACTGTGAGACACTGAGGCAGCAGGCAGAGGAAATGAGCTCAGACTTCACAGCAGAGTTTTATTGAAACTAGCACAGAAGAGAGCTCACGCAGCCAGGTGGCAGTGAGCAGCACGCAGGCAGAGCTGCCCAAAAGCACCCAGACAGTGTCAGGGGAGGCTGTGGGGAACCGCGCAGCTACTGTGCCCTTCGGGCCATCAGCATTTCCCGGATGTTATCTTCTGCTTCCTTCACGCTGCGCTCCAGGTACGACTTCTTCTGCTGAAATGCAGAAAACCCAGAGGAGAGTTAAGGTCCGCCTTGGCACTGCCAGCACATGCCAGCGTGCTGGGGCCAAGAGCTGCCCAGGACAGAGCTGCAAGCAGCCAGCTGAGGGCACACAGGACCCTACACGTTTCCCGAAGTGAGGACAGTGGTTATTCATTCCCAGTGACGTCCTGGAAGTGTTAATATTTGGCCTGGGCAATGTTTACATGGACTTTGAGTTTTGTTCCCTTTGAAACCTCCTTGGAGCTGCTGGGGCCTGTTGCAACAGCAGAGCTGCAAAAAGTAGGATATGTTAACTGTATCAGGGAAGGAAAAGGAAATCAGAACCTGTATCGCTTGCAGCCTAGAGAGCAGTTAACACACTGAGATCTCCTTACAGAGACAACAGCAAAATCCTTTTGCACTTAGGTAAGAAAGGCTCTCTTTCCCAGCTGGGCCAGTTTTCTAAAGCCAGACCTTCCTTTCTATCAGAAATTCCCTGGCATCATCACCAAATATGCGTGTTTCCTTAATCATCTTTAATTAGGCTAGGCTTGGAAGGGAAGCAGACCAAAGCCATGCATCCCAAGACAGGAATTCAGCATGCAGCATTTTTTCCTGCTAGCCTGGGTGCTCCTAGGTGACTGGAAGAATCACCAATTGGCTCTTTTGACTATTTTCTCTGCGTTTCCAAACAACAGACACAACAGTCTCTTGTGGACACCAGGCCAGCAGAAGACATCGCTGTGTGAGTGCAGGCAGTCCTCGCTGCTGGACGGAAACCTTTGGCAGGGAGAGCACTGCTCCAAACGCATTTTGTTTTGGGCTGGGGGGACCCTCAGGGACCTTCCCCAGAGCTGGGATTGCAGAGGACCATGGGGAGAGCCCTCAGGGGGCACACACGGGGCTCCACAGGTGGTACCTGCTGCATGCTGGCGTGGGGCTTGCTGTCCTCACGAGGTCTGCTTCTCAGCAAAGCCTGCCGGGGACCACCGCAGCACCATGCTCCCGCTTCCCCACAGTGGCTCCAGCCGCACACAGGGCGCCTTCCTGCAGGCCTGGGGAGCTCGATTGAGCTCAGTCTCCAGACCAAGCTGGGTACTGATAAGCATTGGCATTATTGTTATTACAGTTCAGGCCTCAGCCTAGAGCATCCTGGCACAGCTTCACTAGTCACCTCCCCAGCCACCAGCAGAAGAGCCCAGCATGGCTTGAATGACCACCAAAGCCCACCAAGACCAAGGACAGCTAAAGGGGAACAGCTGAGGTCCTCAGCACTGTTCAGCCATGCAGAGGGGCTGGAGGAAAGGGTAAAAACATACGCTGCTCTAGGGTGCTCCCCCAGCTGCCTGGAGTAGAGCAGCACCCATGGGTGCAGGCTGCAGCAAAATCATGCCCTGGCCTCTACCAAGCAGCACCCGGCCGCTACGGGGGGCAGGCCAGGGGGTGCTCATGTGTGAGACAGAGGACACAGCACCTGCCAACAGACAAGAACTGCAAAGTTGGTGCTCCCCTGACAGCCTCCCCCCGACTCCTGCAAGCCCCCAGGGAGCTGGGACCCATAACGCTGAAGGAAAATTCATTAGCACATGGCACAGGCCTGCTGCCATCGCTCCTCATCTGTCCCCTCACAGCAGACCTGCAGTGACACTTCTGTACACGCAGCTGAAATGCCCGTGCCGTGAGGGCATTTCTTCAAGCCTCGTTTCTAAATACTGAAGGACTTTTATTCAAACTAAGTAAAGGTTGTTAGCAACAGCGTGGGCCATGGGGATGGCAAAGGGCTCCTTGTCACTCTTATGCAGTCCCCAGGCCCTGGGATCCCTCTCGCCTACAAGAGCTGCTTTTCAGGAAACCACTGGGAGAGGAGGCGCAGCACGGGTTCCTGCTGCTGACTTGCTGACGCACGAACAGGACTTCTGCCACCAGTGTGCTGGTCTCACACTGCCCAGACAGACATCGAGGGATTTCACATCTAGGCAACTGAATCTGAAGGCTGTAAGGGGAGACAGGTCCTGGAAAACCTGCATGGGCCCAAGCTCCACCGAGCTCCACTGACTGGAGGAGAGTAGCATCAGCAAAGCTGACTTCTATGCATTCACTTATTACTAAAACATTTTTGTATGCAGTTAAATTAGTCTGTGAAATGGTTCTGGCTTCCTGTCCTCTCCCCTCCCTCTTGTGCACACTGGGCAGCAAGAGACATTTCCAGTGAACAACTCTCCACAGGCAGGCTGGCCCCAGCAGCAACCTCAGGAGGGCCAAGCAGCATTGCCACCACACAGGGAAGCTTCCACATGCAGCCAGGAGCTGGCAGGCTGTAAATGACAGCTCTGTTCTCCTAACACAAGGGGATTGCAAACATCCCCTAGTAGGAAGCTGTGCTGGTGACCATTTAGGGCCCTGGTTCCCCAAGGACAAGGGACCCTGAGCAACAATGTGGCCCAAGCTTCGTGTGTGTCATGGAGTGCAGGAACTCCATGGCTGTCATGGCCCGTGCTAAATCCACGCTGCCCCCACACTGCACAGTGGCATGCTCTGCCTTCCCCAGGGGAACAGAGGTGCTGGAGCTACACAGCTCATGGCAAAGGGACATGGTTTAATACTATTTCTTTACTTAAGTAGCACCTGAAGTCCCTCGGTCACATAGCTTCTGGGGCAAAAGGAGGTGGGCTGGTCCCGATGCTTCTAATCCTTCCTCTCAAAAGTAGCCTCCAGCGAGACTCATTCCTGGGCTCCAGGAGCATCCCTTGAGCACCAAGGGAAACCCTGCACTCACAGCTGGGGAGCTGCAAACTTCCTGAGCTCTCCCACGAGCCAGGAGCAAGCAGTGACGGAGCCAACAGGGCAGCTGTCTCCTGCTCTGACTAATGGGCCAAATCAAGGGGGAGCGAGGAGCAGACAGGCGCTGCATTTTCCGAGACGCATGGCAGAAGCAAGGTGTTCCTGCCCGAGGAGCTGTGGCCTGGCTTCTGCTTCAGTCATCACAGAAGAAAGAGCAGGAGCTTGCGTGCAAGCCCCTCCTCACTGCAATTACTGGGGTCTAGACAGGAAACTCCGTCTCTCCCTGGCTGCACCTTCCCAGGAGCCGCTGTGAGCAAGCAGGCTGACACACGCACTGCCTGGTCACACCAGCTCTTCAGGAGCCTGGAGACGGTCTGGCAGCAAAGCTCTGAAGTCACCCTGGAGGCTGTTCCGGTCCAGCCAGATCTGCCAGGCTGGTGGCATCTGCTCCCTGTGGGAGGAACAGCCCCCACGGCCTCACACACCTCACCTCCAAGCTGCCCTAAACCTACATGCCTTCATTTGCACTTGATGTTGACTTGCAGTCCTAGTTAACCCTATATCCTCTGACCCCACATTTTGCGCCAGCCTGTGGCTACTAGGTTTTAGCTCATCAACCAATTAGCTGCATATATTTTCATATGAAGGTTTGTTCACCACTCCAAGCGTGGATTCTCTGTTGCCTTTGCCCAGGCAAGTACAGCTAGCAGCAGATTTCCAGTGCAATGCCAGAACTGTACTCCTGGTTTTGGTCCCTCATGACATCAAAGGCTGCTGCTCTCCGCAGCCTCTGATACTACTTCTACACCAGTAACTTCAGTGCTCACCAGTCCGGAACCCAACGGGACATGGCAGCACACTGGCCCTACACAGCCAGCCACTGAGTTCAGAGGCTGCACAACCTACAGGCTGCAGATTCAGAGCTCCTACTCACACCCCACATCACCAGTGCTGTAAACTGCCTCCACTCACCCACCCGCCAGCTCCTGCAGGCCTCTGGTCAGACAAGGTGGTTACTCAAAAGAGCAAGAGATACCACTGCCTGAGTCACAGAGTCTCAGGGTAGGACTGAGAAAGGAAACTTGCTCTGGAAAGGTGACACATGCCGCTCGGCTTCCAGAGAAGCCTAAACTCACTGCTTACAAACAGGGCCATGCTCTGCAGCGAGCCCGGGCAGTGCCACAAGGTGCTGGCATCGCCCCAGCAGTTACGCAAAGAGTGTGACAAGGCAGCAAAGGAGGAAATAAAGACAGCCCAGTTGGAAGAGGCTGGTTTCTCAGCCAATGGCTCTGGCTGCAGTCAGGGATCTCCTGATTCGCGATTGCCACATCCACTTGCTAGAGACTTACCACACTGCAAAATACACTTCTTGAGTGTTAATGAAGCTTATTTAAGGGGCTCGGCTTCTGGATGCCCGCTCGGCCAGGGCAGTGAGCACACCCCCGCCTCAGCCTCTGCTGCCCCATGGCTTTCAGAAATGCCGCTTTGTTTCCATGACCCGTGCACAGTAATTCCCACGCACAGAGGAATGATCTGAGGTTGCAGGTCCCATCAGCGTGCGAGAAGCCTCTCCACCACAGAAGTGAGGCAGGGGAGCCAGAGGCCGCCTGGAAGGTGGCTGAAGGCATGCAGGAAGGTAGCAGGGTTTGCAGCTACAGATTTCCAGGCGGGCAGCACGCTTTGCATGCAGTCTGAACTCAAGCCAGCTGCCCTGCTCCAGCACAGGACAAGCTCTTGCACCCTCACTTGTTCCCACCATAGGCCACCCACCAGTTCTCATCCAACCTCTTATTTGCCATGGCAGCCTCTCAATCCCCCTCCTGCCCTGCTCTGTCCCTGCACAGGAAGGGCACTGCCACCTGCACTGGGACAGGAGATCATTACACAGCTACTGCAACAGGCTAGCAAGGTCTGGGCCACACGCAGAACAGCTGATAGTGTGCAAAACTGCAGAAGATGCCCCCCAAAAGCCAGTGCATTCAGTGCCTCCCAGCCTGTAGTTTTGTAATTCCTTTAAACTAATCCTGCTGCCAACAACAGTCACCTTCCCTACTCAGGAAGGGCTGCAGTGCTTGGGAGGGAAACAAACCATAGTCCTGATGATCTGTCTGAAAACTAGCCCAAAAGGAAGTGTTCTCACCAAAATCTGCTTCCTGGAAGTAGGTTTGCCATGCTAATGGCTAGCTGGCACTGAGATGGAGGGCAAGAAGAGATAGCCAAGAACTCTTCTTCGGGCAGCAGAGCCAACCCCACCAGTTGGGCATTCCAACACCTACCAAGGGCTCTGAGGCTCTCCTGCACCTGACTGCAGATAGTGCCACCAAGTCCTTAGTCTCCTCTCCCAGCTCTTGGGAGCCTTCCCTACTTCCAAGTCTTCCTGCAACCTTCCTAAACCAGGTGTGTGGGGCAAGGGGCTAACCTGTGTGGGGTTTCAGTACAGCAATGTAGAGTGAAAGTATCTCCTATATGATCAGAGATGCAGCCAAAACTAGAACTGGCTGCTCACGCAGCCCCATCCAACAGGCAACGCACGTCGGTCTCCTGGGTCCCGTTCCCAGGAGGGAGGGCTGTGCAGCCGACAAGAGCTCCGCTCTTGGGCCGTGCTGGGCAGCTGCAGGCGATGGCTCTGGGTGGCTGCTGCCAGCCCCGGTTGCCTCTTCGCTTCACCTGTGTACCAAGCAGAAGCTCTTGGAAGCACCAGCCTGACTCGCCCCAGCCCCTGGCTATGTACAGCAGCACCCACAGCCCATCCCTCACTGCACATGCTTCTAACAGTGCACTGGAGCAACAAGCCTGTGCCCTGGCACTGGTGGTTACAGCAAAAGCAACACCATAAATACTCGCCCCCACCATTATCCCATACCATGGCTCCCTCGCACTTCACTCCCTTGTCACAGGCAATGCTTGCTCTCTGACCAGCTCCGCACTATTTGCTTTTCGCAGCAGCTGCAGAAATACTAGATTTAATGCAAATACAATCACAGTTCACACCCTGAAGAAGAAAAGGAGTTGTGGTTAACAGAGGTGGCCCATGGCCTTTTGACACGGTGGGAGGTCACCTCCTGCTTGAGCCTCCCACCCCTGTTTCCATTGCATCACACTGCTAGCGAGGCCAGTGTTATGCTGGAGAAACACGATGACGATGCACCCAGACCTTACATTCCTGGCAGATTAAAAAGCCAGCATCCACAGATTCCACAGCAAGAAAAAATTATTAATCAGCTCCTCCCAGATGGGCCTTTGATGATCAAAGGCCCATATTTCTCCCAGCGCTATGATTCAGATGCCTCTGCCTTCAGAGAGAGCTGGTCAGCCATTGGACAGACCCAAATGTCTACAAAGCCTCGTCTAGAGCTGGTAGTTCAGCACAGCGCTTCACAGTGTACACACTCAACTCCAAAAGCCAAAATAGCATTTCTGCTCTCAGCAGGAAACCAATACGCAGCAGCCACAGTTTATTCACGCTGCATCACGCCTCGTGCTCACAGGTGAGTTTCCTGTTTCAAGTAGCAGTTTCCCATTCCATGTCTACTCCTTTTGCTCTTCAAATTCCACTTGTTTCCACCTCAGCAAGAGAAAGAGCTTCAACCCTTGACCTGCAAACACAAATATGCTTAAAGCAAAACAAAAATGTTTCCATGGAAATTTAAGGACCTGGTATTGGAAAATGCCTTCTCATTTTGGCCTTTTTTTAAAACTGTTTTTCTACAAACTTGTTTTACATCCAACTTATGAGGACAAAATGAGCTGGCGGGTTCCTTCCCAGAGACTACTTCCCTCCCCGCAGCTCACAGCACACTTGGATACCAGCCACCAGATGCTGGCATCCCACTCTTGCGCTTAGTAGGCTTTCATTGAGGAATGCTGCAGAGTCTTCAGGCATGATGCACTGCCTCAAATAGGAGCCCTGATACAACTCATCTTGTGACACCGTCTCAATAAACCTGCTAGCTGAAAGTTTCTGTATCTCCCAAAGTTAACCCAGGTCATTTTTGGCATTCCTCAAGGGCTCTGTCTATGCACTCTTTGGGAAAGTGATCAGCAGATCCTGAGACAGGGCTGGGAGCAAGCACTTGTCTGGGGAAGGATCTTCTCCAAGAGGAAAGCAAGCTGTGCTGCCCACGTGCTGGGAGCCTGGCAGCAGCAGTGTCGTGAGCTGCCCTCACTCTTGAGGCCACCACTGCTGTTAGGGTGGCTGGAATTTCCCAAACGCCCCTAGCCAGAGAACAGCACACCGAGCCATCAACACATGCACCGCAGGCAAGACAAACATTTTGGTCAGCCTGAGATCATGGAAGATGATGTGCCTAGGACGTGCGTTCTATTTAACAGGCTTTCACTTGGAACCCATAAATGGGAAGGAGGTGGACCAGATGAACAGCACCCAGATGCTTCTGCTTCAGGAGAAACTGAAATAGTGGGTACCAGTGATGGGGCGGAGTGGGTCTGCAGGCAGTCCTACGCCCTGATGGGTCCACCCAGCACTGGTCCTCAACCAGTGCAACACTGTGGCACATGTACACATTGGGAATTATCACACTGCAGCAACCACCAAATATTTAGATACACTTCAAGACTTCCCAGGCAGTTATTGCTCTCAGGAAGTTGCCCAGAGTTTGCTCAAGAGTAACTGAACTGCAGTAAGAAGGGAGTCCAGCTGGTTTCTGATGACAGCTGCTGACACAAGTATGATGATGCTATTACCTAAGAGGAAGTGATGATTCAGATCCCTGGATTTTCCCTTAGCCATCCTTTCCACAAGGTAACGGGGACCCTCAGCCACTTCAAAACCATCTGGATTAGAGTGGAGAAGAGAAGACATCAAGCAGGATCTTCAGAAGCACCTGCCTAAAGAACTATTGGTACAAATCCACTTTCATCATGTATTGATCCTACCTACAGCACAACCAGCAAGGCTTCCCCCCATAGTTATCGTAGCGCCTTGAAATCCTGAGGAACATACCCTGAAAAAGCTCATTTAGAAAAGCACCCGCTGCTTTCCACACTTAGTACCAAGGAAGGCCACCTTCGAGAGAAGGGGCAATGTAATGGGCAGGAAAACCTGCCTGCAGAGCAGCCTTTCTGTTCCCAAGCCCTGGCCCCACCACAAACACACTGCACGTACCTGTTGTCTCAGGCATGGGACAGCATCTTCCATAGAGGTGGAGACAGTTGCTCTCCATGACTGGGAAATGACAGATTATTCCAGTGAGCTCCTGCACCCTAGCTGGATGTTAACTACTACAAAAGCAAGACAGCTGGGAACCTTTCAGTAGGTGGCAGCAGAAATATATTATCAATCCAGTGGATTCATTTAGGGACACCCCTTCTTGGCAAAATTACACATTTAGAGTTTTCAGAAGTACATTGCTTCAGGTCAGATATTGCACCCTAACAAGCCTTATGACAGCAGACTCAGGTCAAGCATAGAGAACTTGGGGTGAGGAAACTCACTGAGATTCTGAAAATCCCCATGTTTTTCTCTGGCAGAAGTGTCCCTCACCAAACTGCCTCTTGCAAAATGTGGTCAGTTCCCTAATTCGGTGCTTAGCTTTCTATGGTCCTGCAGAGCCACTACGGATCAGAGTACCTCCTAGAAATATGACTTTTGCAAAATCATATTGCACATTTCATCTCTTGCAGTCCCAGTCAAACAAGTCCGTTTTCAAAGAAAAATTACTTCCATAAATTTCAAACACTTCCATAATTTCAAATCAGCAACAAAAAGATGATGTAAACTTCCACCCAACCAGCATCACCCCCCTAATTCAGATGCCCTTGAACTTGGCTGCCTTGCAGGCAGAGAGCAGCCACATCCCCACTAGGAACACATTTACAGACAGATGAGAGGAGTGACCCAGGCAGGGGGGTGAGCAGGAAGTCGTGACGGCCTCCCTACATACCTGGAGAGCAAGGTGTGGCTTTATAAAGCTGACTCAGGGCTGGGTCAGGTCTCCTACACGAAGAACCGTGCATTCCAAATAATCATTTCCTGTTCTCCCCACGCAAGATGGAAGAGATGGGGTCAGGATGGAGGCCTATCGAGCACAGATAATCCCCCTCCCCAGAGCTGCTCAGCATAAAGGACGGCAAGGAGTGACTGCATGGGCCTGGTGACTAAGGCAAGGACAGCAGCACTGGTTTTGTGACTAACTATTACTCATGCAAGGAGGAATTTGGAGAGGGATCCGCATCCAGCTTAGCTGGTTGCTTTGGATACTTCTGCAGCCATAAGCACAAAGGAGAGCTTTGACAATGAATCAGACCCTGGTTTAAAATGACAAAGGCAGACTTATCTACCAACTTTGTGTTAAAATGATTTCAGTGTAATCATAAAAGCAGCTTAATGCTAATCAGAGGAAACAAGCAATGTTTTCAGACCCAGATGACTAAATGTAGGATCCTGGATGGACAAAACCATTTAGACACAGCAGAAGTGGTTTCTTATTAATGCACAATGTATTTCACTTTCCCCTGAATTACAAATGAATGCGAGCATACTGGCAAAGTTTGGTTGAAAAGCTTTTCCCATTAGATTTTTTTTTTTCTTTTAAATCAGAGCAACTCCCCTCCCTCCCCCTCCCCCCCCAAATCCTAGAATAAGTTCTGGGATACATTTATTTTGAAATCACCTCTATAACTAGATTCTAAAGGATTTAAAAGGAAGTAATCAACACCCATGTTAATTATTCTCCTGCTTTTAAAATCTACAATTATCCACCTAAAAATAAAGGTAGGAACAGTGAAAATAAAGAGTCATCAAATTCCAGTTCTCTCTTCATGAAGCCATTGCCCTCTCAGCTAGTTTGTGTGCTTACTTTGCAGTCTGCAGTGTAGAGAAGACTAACAAAGAATTACTATTGCTTGTAAAAATCTGGGAGTTTGAAAACTTGTCACAGTGAGCAATTGCTCCAAATGCCTTGCAAATGCATACTGATACACATGTGATGTTATAAATACACATCATTCCACCAAGATCAGTGCCAGCCACAACCACTCTTTACAAAACTGTGTTGAGGTGTTAAAGTTTTTGTAAGCCATCTCAGGTCTAAACCAGTGAAAGACCCTTTCAGAGAGCTGGGAAACCCCTCTCAAATATGATTATTTCTTCTTTCTGTGCCTCTAAGATTACAATGTCATGTTTTGCAATCAGTGACTTGTGCACTGCTTAACACAGGACAAGCTTCTTACGCAACCTGCAAAGCAGAACATATTCTTATTTGATCTTTATCTAAGAAATCTACCATAGTAATCAGAAATGGTATTTTAAAAAATACCCCTCCTTTCTTGTGATTACTGAAGAGCATTTGTTCCCTCTTAAAGCTGTAAGGTGCTCGCTGCATACAATCAACTTTCATTTGTCTGGGATGAGAGATGATGTGATTTGGATAAAAGAGAAACAGCATAAAATACACACTAAATTAGGCTGTAAGAATACAATCCTTTTGTTATCCTCACTTTTGACAAATGACAATAAGACAGACTGTGAGGCTTTAAACATAAAGAATTAAGTCAGTGATTCATCACAGCCTTAAAAGCAAGGAATAAGGCCTATTGCTCATGTTACCAGCAGAGTCAGTTTAGGGGACAAAGAATTAGAGCAGCACTAGCTATGCCCCAGTTCCTCTAGTATTTACCTCAAATTTGTATGGCTCCAGTCCAATGTCAGAGGGCTTCTCCATAAAGAATGATTTTGTCCCAATACTGTTAGCTTTGTGTCCATTACACACTCAACCTTCTCACTGTTTTACTATTCTAAATCCTATTTTTCTCATTGCTCAGGGTATTTTTCATTTCAATAATCAGGAATGAGAATGCAGATTCTCTTCCCTGTAAGACAGACAGACCTATAGTGGAAAGGGAGATAGAAAAAAAAGAAGAAGAAAAAAAAAAAAAAAAGCGCTTTGGTTACTCCCTTCTTCAAAACAAGCATCTCCATGGAGGACAAACTGATGCCAACAGCTCTGCCCATGCAGGCTGTGCTCTGCTCTCCTATGGGAGAGCCTGTGGATGCTCCCCAGCCAACAGCAAGCTTAGGCAGGCAGCTGGATCACCCATGTCCTCAAAAAAGCCTCCATTTTTGCAGCCTGAAAAGCAGGAGCAAGTAAAGACACAGACTCAAGCCCAGACAACAGAAGCCAACAGAGTTAACACAAAACACATTTCATAGAATGACCTAGGTTGGAAGGGACCTTAAAGATTACCTAGCACCACCCTCCCTGCCCCGGGCAGGGCCCCCTTCCCCCAGCCCAGGGGGCTCCCAGCCCCGTCCAACCGGCCTGGAACCCTTCCAGGGAGGGGGCAGCCACAGCTGCTCTGGGCACCCTGGGCCAGCGCCTCACCCCCCGCACAGGGAAGAATTCCTTCCTTACACATAATCTAAATCTACCCTCTTTCAGTTTAAAACTGTCACCCCTCATCCCCTCCCCACCCCCCAGATCCAGAGTCCCTCCCCACCTTCCCTGCCCCCCCTTTAAGCCCTGGGAGGCCGCTCGAAGGGCTCCCCGGAGCCTTCTCTTCTCCAGGCTGAACCCCCCCAACTCTCTCAGCCCGGCCCCCCAGGGGAGCTGCTCCAGCCCCCCCAGCATCTCCGTGGCCTCCTCTGGCCCCGCTCGAGCAGCTCCGGGTCCTTCTGCTGTTGGGGGCCCCCGAGCTGGCCCCAGCACTGCAGGGGGGTCTCCCCAGAGCGGAGCAGAGGGGGAGAACCCCCTCCCTGGCCCTGCTGCCCCCCCTGCTCTGGCTGCAGCCCAGGGCACGGGTGGGTTCTGGGCTGAGAGTGCACATAGCTGGCACAGAGTCAGTTTTCCATCCACTAATACCCATAATATCTTTACGGCTGCTTTCAATCCATTCCTCACCCAGCCTAGATTTGTGCTGGGGATTGCCCGGACCCATGGGCAGGACCTTGCACTCGGCCTTGCTGAACTCCATGAGGTTTGCCTGGGCCCCCTCTCCAGCCTGCCCAGGTCCCTTGGGATAGCATCCCTGCCCTCCCGTGTGTCACTGCACCGCACAGCCTGGTGTCATCAGTGAGCTTGCTGAGGATGCACTGCATCCCACTGTCCACAGCTCCAGCAAAGATGTTAAACACCGCTAGCGCCAACACCAACCTCTGAAGAACGCCACTCGTTACTGCTCTCCACTTAGATATCGAGCCACTGACCGCAATCCTTTCAGTGAGACTATCCAGTCAATTCCCGAGGAACATCATCAAGTCCAAATGTCCATGCCCAGAAGGACCTGCCCAGACATCTGCAGCTGCCTCAGGCACCCAAAGCCATACAAGATGAAGGCTATCACCTGGCCTGGTCCTCACAGGGGCCGTGATGAGGCCCTGCAGCTCACTTTCACACCTACCTCCATAACTTGTGGAACTCCCACAGCTTCCTCCTAAAAGGTTTATGCAAACCCATAGATTAATCCTGCGTGGTAAATTCACTTCCATACTGCACCTGTCCCCACATCAGGTGTCCAGCCTTCCTCTACAGCAAGCAGGAGAAGATCACTTCTAGGAACAACTGACCCCCTGGAAGCATTTATTTTCTTTCTCTTGACTCCAGAAAACATGTGGACTCCTGACTCAGATTGCCACAGAGAGTTAATGAAACTCCAAGGTATGATGGAGGGGCAAGAGAAGGAGATTTCACCATTCTGAAGTCCCAAACATCTGATACTGTAAAGTGGGGCAGGAACAAATAGAAAAAAAAAAAAAAAAAAACAAAACAACCCAAAAACCAAACCAAAACTAAAAACCCATAATCAACAAACCCAAAACCCCAAAAAACCCAAACCAGAAAACAAAAACTAACCCCCACCCATACCCCACAACACACTACCTTCCAGGACAAGCAAACTAAGAAAATAAAAATCAGTCTACTCCCCATCAATGTCCAAAACCTGCAGATGACCTGTGCCAGGGGAGTTTTGCACATGTTTGCAAATCATGATTGCAGCCGAGCCCCCAGGTTGCTCAAATCATTCTGGCTTGGCTCTTGTACGAACAACAGTGATAGAAGCACACCAGCCTTCCTTAGAGCAGGCCAGGCCATAAAGCCAACAGGGCTGAAATCAAACCAGGCACTGACCTTGTCTATGCATACACTTAAAAACAAGGGACAGTGTCTGTGACATGTATAAAATCATGTCCTTGGTACATGCATGTATGCCAGCAATGGAATGAGAAAACAGCACACTCATCCAAAGTAAAATGTGCTCCAGATTAAAGCACAGAGGACTATTCTTGAGGCTTTCCCTCTCCAAAGCAAACTGAACATTCCTTATTTTCCCCTGTTTACTTAAAAAGCCCACCGCACATTCCTGGGCACTGGCCTATCCTGAGCCAACCATGGGATGAGAGCTTCTACGCTGTAAACCCCAGGAAGAAACTGGTCTAACCTGGGAACAGCCCAACAACTGATACCTTCTGATGGTCATTTATTGGTCTGCAAAGCACATCACAAATCTCAAGAGACTTGTTTTCACATCATTAAAGCCACCCTCAGAGTTGGCCTCCATGCTGATGGTTTCAGTGTAAAAACCAAAGGGCTGTCCAGAGAGCTGCTGCAGGAGCACATCAGAAGCACACAGCCATGCAAACCATCCAAGCCATACCTGCTCAGAGAATACCAGCTCCCAGGCTCTGGCACTTCTCCCCAGCCACACCTCAACTGCTTAAATCTTTGTTCCCACAGGGTACAAAAACACTGTTGTGGCAACCATTAGAGTCACCCTGGTCAACTCATCGAGGAGGGGGTACCACCGTTATGCCTCAGGGCTGCAGTAAAGCCATTTTATAGCTCTGAGTGGAAAAAAAAAAAAAAAAAAGGAGAAGTGGAAGCTGCAGCACGAGCAAGTTTGCATCCAGGCAGCACCAGGGAAGAAGTCTGTTGTTACCTCTGATGTCTGGTCACCATAAGGCATTGCACTGCAGTCACTTTTTAACTTTACCAGGACGGAGCCCTGCAATACCATGTAAGCCTTTAAACGTGGAACACAATGGTATTTGAGAGCAGATCGTTTGTTTCTCCACCATGAACAAGAGCAAAGAAGATTTCTGTGTTGGATAGGGCAACTGGACATGGTATTTTAGGGATCACATGAAGAATTTCTGAATTAGAAATCAAGAACTTAGGTATAGCTTTCCCACTCATATGTCCTACTCCAAGCAGACAGAGAAGAAAACAACCCTTTATCTCCACAGCAGTAAACTCTCAGTCACCCATACATGTGTAAACGAATTGCTTGCGAAACAAGCACACAACAATGTTGTGGTCAGTCTAAAACCAAAATCCAATTCAACCAGAAAGCTGCAGGTTGCTTTTGCCCTTTTCATGAAGGAGCTAAATTCAGCGGCACACAGTAGACAGAGTTGCCCAGCAAAGCCTCCTCCTTATTTGTTATTTTTAGCAATTTAGTCCGACAACGCCTGACAACTAAACATGCTGAATATAGCAGGAGAGAAGGGGACTATCAGATATTATCAGAGAAAACACACGGCGATAATCACTTTCTCCACCCCTGATGAAGAATCCATTTTCCATGTCTTTATAACATCATAGAGTTTGTTCTTTATAAAATGCCACATTTAAAAACAGAATCCATCTAGCCCCACAATGGAAACGGATAACGTTTCCTGAAACAAAGCATTGTTCCACCCCTCACATATCATGTTTCCTTAAAAACAAGGGAAGAAAAACATTACTTGGGTTTTCTTCTAATACTGCACAAACATTGCTGAGCTAAAAAGAGTGTGTGCTCATCCCTTTAGAATGCTTTCAAAATAGATTTAACACATACCCTCGTACCGTGAAACACAACAAGAATTTGATAGTATCAGGACTGGAAAAATCCAATTGCCACTGCTAAGCAGGAAACTTCCCGTGTCAGTATGTGAGTGAGGCTATGCCATCAATGTCTGCAAGGTTCAACGTTTTTGTAAGCCCCACTTGCACAGCCTTTAAGCAGGCATATGTATTTTGCCAGCAAGCCTGGGCAGTCTGTTTGGATTCCAAAGGATTACATACACGTTAAGAATGTTACATATGTCCATACATATATTTTCATGTTCATAACTTAACTTTAAGAAGAAGGGTAAAGCTACCTCGCTTTTTCTGCAGAGTAACTGTCAGGCTATGAGTCTGCCTCCTCACACACATACACACCCTTTTGTGTTTTCAGAACACAGTTCCTCTCACTAAGTACCACCAATGCATACTCCAGCCAAGCCTTATTTTCACAGCCCTGTACAAAGACAGGTCTGGTTTTCCTTGCTGCTTTGCCATGTGCTGAGCAGCAGGAAGGACCAAACTAGCGGTACAACATCAATTTTGTGATGCTGCCTTGAAAAAGGCAATGCACCACTTCAACAGCAGAGGAACCCAAGAGAGGGGAGTAAGGGAAAAGGAGTAACTGCCATCGTGCGTTACAATGGAGACCATCAGAGAAGGGAGAAGAAAAGCTTTCAAACCAGACGCAGAATTCCTCACTGTTTTCAAAGTTCACTCTGACATCTGTGAATGTCAGGAAACCCAGCTCACATCTCTGAAGCAGCTTAAAGCCCACGTTTTCATGAATATTCAGCACTCGGGAGCTCTCCTTGCTATGCAGCTGGATGGATTTACAGAAGAGCTCAGCAGGGAACCCAGCCCTCTGCTACGCTCCTCTGCAAACACCACCAAGCTAGCATTATGAGCATTTTTCAAATTCAGGCTTGTATCAAAAATACACATTTCACAATACCTTGGCAACAGTGTAATAACTGTCTCAAGTTCACACTACATGAGTAACCAGATCAGCCACACTGTATCAATACTGGAAGACTACTCTGAGCAGCTTGATTCAACTATGAAAAGTGAGAAGTGTGAGTAACAAGGTAGTTAACAATGTAAAGTATAAACTTAAGTTTTAAAATTCTTCTAGCTTTAATAACAGATAGAGGGAAGTTTTAACCTATCTTGGTTTGATATTTATTTTACAATGATGCAGTGGAAGCACAAGGTCACAAAGTTTCACATTCTTTCCTGCTTCTGTCACAACTTGTTTTCAGGACAGCAAAATCCCCTATTCCTGTGATAAGTGCTCTCTGACTTGGACTCAGGTATTTCCCCTGAAATCTCAGTTTCCAGCAGCTGTCAGTCTAAGAGCTTGTCCTTTTCAATGGGGAATCCCAAGCCTAAGGAAAATCCTTTTCGTAAAACTGCCAGCCAGCTGGAAGCAGAGTAGTTAAAAGATGGACTTGAATATTCACTTAAAACAAATAGTTGAAAGCTTTGGCAAATCTGAGCCCTACTATCCTGTGGCTAAAAAGACAACCCAACCCATGTTGCAACCACCTTTCCATTCCCACCACCTTTTGAGACAATCACTATTGCTGGGAACTTCAGTTCAGTGGCCATAACCAGAGACTCGAGCAACAGGGAGTTACGAAGCAGAAAAACACATCTGCCAAAGCAGCCGGTTCCATTCTTTGTGTAAGAATGGCAGAATTTGTGGGGAAATTCCACCCATTCTGCTGAACTCAGCTACTGGAAAGTTCAAGAGGTATGATCATTCCCCACCAGGAATAGGAACAAACTGAGATGCACAGCTGAAGGGCACAGTAGTCAAAAAGCTGACCACAGCCCGATGGACCTAGCAGTAAGAGACTCGATGGGCAGTTTGTAAACAGAGGCTGTCAACGACACTCCAATCACTTCCAAACCCAGATGTGCCGCTATGAAGTCCTCCAACCCCAGTCGCAGGGCTGTCTTTGTGTAAGGCCACTAGCATCTGGGATGGCTCCAGAGTAGCCAGGATACAATCACTTTTACCGTATAACCATAAAAATGACTGTGCCTTCTCTGCATTAACACCACCTTAAGTATATAGCGTACCCATGGAGTACTAGTTTTCCCTGTGCAGAAAAAGTTCTTGTGTCCAGAAACACAAAACTCTTTAGTATCCAGCAAAGAAAACACTCCCGGCAACACAACATACAGAGGTGTGCCTGCCCTACAGCTCCCCAGGCAAGCCGAGTCTTAAGAAGGAATTAAAAAAAAATACAAACTCTAATTCTGCTTTAGTGTAAGTAGGAGACGACAGAATTGCAGAGGTTTGAGCACCTGCTTGTCCCTACTTAGCTAGTCTCCACACCCTCTATCTCCAAAACACTAACCGATGAGATAAGCAGTTTGACACAACTCAGTCTTTGCTTTTAAGGGCATTAAGAAAAAAAAAAATACAGCAATGGCCTTGGAAAAGTATGTTTTGAGCATCTTCTCTGAAGAACTGTGGCCAAGATTCACTAGATAACTTGTTTGAGCACTGGAAGTTGCAGACACTACTTTGTATTTCCTAGATATTCTTCTCTGCCTTGAATACTCCAACCAGATAAACATAAGAACGCAGAAGTGCTCTGACCACATCGCCAAAACAAAGTCCCACCTCCCCCTAGATCCCGTCTTCAACAGCAGCCACAAGTAGATGCCTAGGGCAGAGTGTAAGGACAGGGAAGTCATATACAGTATTTCATACTTTCCAAGCCTCCAGACATTTTCAGCTCAGGGACTTCCTGAGCAGGATGCCATTTCTACATATTTGGTAATTCTCAATGGATTTCTCTTGCATGAATTTGTGCAATTGTCCTGAGCCAGCGTAAAGTTTTAATATTCACAGCACTGGCAAAGTTTCACATCACCTATCTGCTGCAAATAACCACATGAACATCCTTTTGCTAGTTTTAAACCTTGCTCCTACTAATCTCATTTGAATCCCTCACCCCTAGTTTTCACATCAGGACAGAGTGAACAGTCAATCCCTACTGGGCTTGTAGATCTAGCAAAGAAACCAAGTGACATAAATTACTTGTAGGTTACTTGTAACAGGCACTATGTTTCACCTACTTATAATCCTTCAGAATGTAAAGTACCAAATAAAAACAGGGAATGTAACAAACAGCACCTTGTTGATCTTCAGTGTTCTACTTTCAGCATTACCTGCCACAAACTTACCTCTAATTCCTTAATTTTCTCTTCAGCTATCCTCTGTTTTTCTAAGAGCTGATTATGAATCACTCCTTTAGGCTGAAGAATAAACCTACAAGTGAAAAAGAAGAGACAGACAACTGTTGTGATATTTTTACATCTGTTGTACACCTAGCTGCACACCGAGTTAAACTACAGTGACCTCTGCAAAATATTCATCCTCAACCCGTGCATTCTGGACAGAGGCAGAAGAAATTGCTCTGACAGCTCACACAAACCACCGGGCTGGCTTCAAAGGTTTGCTCACTAATCTCACCCATGATTTGGGAGGAAGAAAGTAGATGTACAGTGTCCTTGAATGATTTGAAAGCAGTTCTTGCACACAGCTAGCAAGGGGAGTCTGTCATCACATTCCCTTCAAAAGGATCTAAATCAGCTGATAACATAGTCAAGGAAATCTCTTTCAATGGGTAAAAGGCATTCATTACCATTTTAGTGCTCATGAGCTAAACAAACCTGCACAATAAAAACAAATCTTTCTACAGAGAAAGGCTGAGAGAGTTGGGGTTTTCAGTCTGGAGAAGACTCCAGGGAGACCTTACTGCGGCCTTTCCATATATAGCAGGGGCTCGATAGAAAGGTGGAGAAAAAGGTGGAGACTTTCCACCAGCACCTGTAATGACAGGACAAGGGGCAATAATTTGAAACTGCAAGAGGGCAGGGCTAGATTGAACATAAGGAAGAAATGTTTTACAATGAGGGTGGTGAAATACTGGGACAGGTTGCTCAGAGAAGTTGTGGATGCCCCACCCTTGGAAGTGTTCAAGGTCAGGTTGGATGGGGCTTTGAGCAACCTGATCTAGTGGAAGGTGTCCCTGCCCATGGCTGGGGGGTGGACTGGATGATCTGTGAAGGTCCCTTCCAACCAAAACCCTTCTGTGATTTGATGACACAGATCCAGGTGCTTCCATCAGAAACACAGAGCCACGGCACACCTGCCTTTACCTGAGCTGTCACAGCTCCCACTGCTCAAGACTTGGCTTTAACACTGGCCTTCAAATTCCCATGCTTTCAACATTCAGGGGGTTTCTCTGTGAGGTGGGAAGTGGTCATTTTTAACTGGATTTGCAGCCACTGGTTTCCACCTGTTCTGTTTATTAATTGCCAGAAGGATTTGAAAGATGCATCCATAACATCTCAGTCACAGCAATCCTGCTCACCAGTATGCAAAAAGCTGCTTGACTTGCTCAGAAGAGCCTCTTAAGGAGCATGAGCATCTAAAGCAGCTCTCCAGCACATGGCACTGACATCCCACAAATAGGTAAAGGACAACTAAGTTCAAATGAATTTTAGAAACCGTCCATGGCTGGTTTTCATCCTTCCAGACACAAAGAATGTACAAGCTGCAGATTCACCCCTTCCCTACTTAGAAAGTCCCCCGAGGGATTTAGAAGGAGCCTCCATGGGTCATACCAACGAGGTCAAGGTCTCCCTCCAGCACCAACTAGGGTCAATGTCTTCCTGCCAGGTGACAAGAGGTCATGCTTGAACAGTTAAAATGAGCAGCTTTAGACACGGCAAAATTCTCTGTCTGCTACAGAAAAATCTGAAATCAGTTTGTAGTGCCATCTCCCACGACAAATGACATTATTAACATGTCTGCTCAGGGCCTGGTAAACACAAATGTCAATCTGTCGCTTGGCTTGAAACCCAGCATACTCTGCATCAGCAATGTAACAGCCAAAAGGAAAACTACCTGCCACGTGCATTCCTGAAATGCATGGGAGCAGAACTGAAGTTAATAGTAATAGTTTTCCAATTAAGACTTTCTTCAGTGCTGCTATTAACTGCACTTAGCAATCACCTCCTCCCCCTTCTCCCACTTCTCTCCCTTGTTCCGCTTCACCTCTTCTTTTCTACAGCAACTTCCACTATATCTTTTACAGTGCAATTTTCTCAAATCTCTCCTTGTTTCCTCCTAGTCTCGGCTCATGTTTATTACTGGTGTCATCTTTGTTCCATATCTGCTCCTGTTCTTTACATCACATACTGTGTTTGTCCCCTCATACTGTCAGTATGCTCAACTCATGCTGTCTTTGTCCCCTCAATCTCCCTCTTTCCATTAGATGCCCCCACAACTCACTTTCACACAGTGGTAACATCTTCAGGTCCCAGCACACCCCCGACCGCTGAAACAAAATGTAGATTTTGCTCAGTCTTGTGAAAATCAACTCCGTGACCACCCTTCTAGGAAACAGAAGTTATTTACATTGTTGTTGGATGCAGAGCCTGGATCCAGCCAGAGAGGATCTATGTTTCAGGACCACCAGCAACCATGTCATTCTGACTGTCTTACTCTGAGCCTGCAATACCAGAAGAATCAAATATTAGCTTTCAACACACAGCCCCTGAAGATTTTGGGGTGAAGACTAAAATTTTGCCTTGCTTCAGCAGTAGCTGCCATTAATGAAAAAACAAAGCTGCAAGATGCCCTCAATAAACAATGACATCAGTCCTTTCCCACTTCACAGCTTCCCTAAACCTGTGTGTGTATATGAACATTTCCTTAATTTATTTTTTTTTCTTTTTTTTTTTTTTTTTTTTTTTTGTGAGAGCAGCAGAGAAGAACAGAGTACCTTCTCATTTACTCCCCCAAACTGTATAGCAAGATCAATCATTTTTGTTTCACTGATGCACCTGGACTAAAAAACAAACACCAACACAGATTGATTGATTTTCCCCACACTGCAGCTGGAAAGGTCCCTGTTGGGACACAGGCACTGAGTGATCCCAGCTGGCAGAGAACCACTACAGACACTAAAATCTTTAAACAAACAAGCGGCTGACTTCACTTCTATTCTGCAAATGTCAACAACAGTCATTCGGGCAAATATCCTCCCTTCTACCCTCCTGCAATGCTCTGGCAGACATGTGACAGCAAATTAAAATTGGATGGCTGAAGTTAGCACTGATGAGACTTAGGCAGGCAGCTGGGTACAAATACAATCACCTCAATTTTATTTGCCATAAAATAGTGGGCTGGAACCTGTGTCCGTTCACACACTGGCTCAGAAGCAGATCAAATGTCTGGCTTGGCCAGCAGTATCCTTCAGGTCTTCAACAGTACTGGCTTCAAGCCACCCATTTTAATTCTCTGCCACAAGATCATCAAGCCCTCAGCCTAAAGCTCACAGGTGCTGCCGTGTAAGCTGTCAAAAGCCAGTTTTGTGAAAGCTGAAGCTATAAATCCACATCCCCAGTTAACTATTTAAATCTGTGGCTTCACTTTCCAACATAAAAAGGACTCAAAAAAACTCAGTGTTTTAACTTCTAGCTTGGGATACACACATTGTGGAGATCTTGGCCAAAGTTTTTACCTAAGGAAATAATGTGGTTTATGGTAGCACTTGGGAAAAAGCAGAAGCTTGTTCTGCTCATTAGGTAAGAGATGCTGCAGGGCACTTGTAATAAACCAGACTTTAATCTGGATTTCATTCTTCCAATTGTCCTAAGTAAAACACTAACTTGATATATTTTTTTTCTCAAAAAGTTGGAGAAATGGGGCAGTGTCATTCTGCAGCCTGGTTTTAGTTAAATGTGGTTATTGTGCTTATTAATTTTTAAGATCATGAAAGAACTATGAAAGGTTCTGAGGACTCTGTTGTTCCCTGAGTGAGTTTTGTGAACAAGCCTTTCAAACACATGAATTTCAGCCACTACTTGGAGGTACATCACCAGCCGAGAACTGGGCTCACATTAGTCACCACATCACAGAGCTGAGGAGACACTTTCTGCTCTGTGACACTGAGCTCAGCAGATGACGTGACTGACACCAACCCCTTGGAACAGACCAGCACCAAAGAGCTACCTCCATAGACCACTCTGCCAGAGTCTACCATAGGAGGCTCTGAGAGTCTGTATATTGAACTGGGATAGATTTTAAGTACTGATAGTCCACAGAAGACAAGCAGCAAACCAAATTCTCTTCCAGATAAGCAAGTTCACTCATGTCCACCTTCTCTCACTGAAGAGTCACAGCACACACGAATATATCCATCAAACATGGCACCTACACTATCAAACATGAAACAACGATTCAGAAAAATGCTCAGTACCACAGTGGCAATTACAAAGCTTAGTAACAATCATTTCTTCACACAGGAACTTTTCCACCCTTGTTAAATAACACCAGAAATGTCTGGGTAAGAATGGACAAGCTCATCACATCTCAGTTGGCCACCCATTTCAAAGGAATTGCTAGGATTCCCTAGAACAGAGCAGGATTTGCCCTATTCCAGATACTTTGCAATTTTTCAGTGTCCATAAAGGTAAAGACAAAAAAAAAAAAAAAAAAACAAAGAACATTTTAAAAGAAAGCTACAGAGGAGTGAGGTCCTTGAAGACAGCAAGATTCGGCCAAACCTGGGCTGACAACAAGACCAGCTCTGTAACAGTGAAGTGTTTGCAAATGGTCTGTACCTATGTGCGCCAATCTCCTGGTGACTGCTGGTTCTCAAGTGCAATACAAGGAACAAAAATAGAGCACAAGAGAACTGAAAGAGAAACCTTACTCTAAGTATTCCCACTTGTTTCTATTTTCCTCCCTCTGCTAGCTCCACATCAGGATTTTTATTTCCCTAAGGCAGAGAAAGTGGTTTATACACTCTGAGACTCATTGCTTGTTTACTTCTGAAGGGATCTCTTACCCCCTCCCAATTACAAAATTTCTAGATATGGTACCCATTTCTTCAATGTTTATACAGCAGTGCTTTATGCCCTAGTCAAAATGGTCTTCAAGGCTCTAGTCAGGCTGTCAGCAATGTTGTCAACATCATCTGTCTACTCCTTTGTGTCACATGTACACACCCACAAAGTGATGTTCGTGCAGCGTAAGTAATTCCATAACTCACTCTGCACCAAAACATACTGTTTTCTTGACTTTAAGACATAATATTAGATACTGAAAGATTTGTCTCAATGAATGAGGTTATGGAGATGTTTGTTCAGCCCACTCCACTCTTCATTATAACATAAAGTCATTAAAGTTATTGAAGGTGGAGTACCAGTAATGCTTGTAGTTAAGGTTTTCCATTAGGAACCCCTATTTTCAAT